AAATGGAAAAAAGGCATACTGTGGAATCGTGTCTTGATGTCTACAAATGTGGTTTGTCTAGTTAACTTTTTGTTTAACTGTCGAAGTGAAAGTCTTTCTGTTCCACTCAGGCTACTCAAAAAAAGATTTTTCACAGACCTTAAATATCAGTTGCTGGTAATTTCTGCTCCATGTCTAACTTGAGTGATCTGCTTTAGTAGTAGTAGAATTATTTCTTCCCTTCAGTCTAACTGTACACATCATCATTTTTGCATGTAGTATTAACTGTGCATTTTCTATATGGTATAGTGTTGCAGATGTTGGTATTCAGTGCTGCTATTTTCAAATTTAACAAAAAAACCATTTATTTCAATTAATATATTTTTTTAAAATACAAGGTATGGCTTCTGTAATTTAAAAGTTGGCAAAAGTGATCTGTAGTTCTTTTGGGATCTGTCCTGAATTCTTGAAAGTTGGAATTCAACATCTGTATGTCCCAATATGTTTGCAAATTAATTATTGTAGGAGTGAAGGATTGAAGGGGGCCATTTGTATTGAATTAAGTCTTGTGAGCATTTGTGAAACTGCTCATCAGACACTCGTCAAACCCCTCCTTAGAACAAGTTAAATTTGTTTGCTTTCACTCTTGTCTCCGCTATTGGAAGACTGATTGATACAGCGATATGTTTCTTAATGTTTTGTGTAAATATATTCATGCTTTATTTATGCCCATTGATTTTAGTACCAATATTGACCCTTAATGTAAACGTTTCTTGTGCATTTATAGAGATGTCTGTTTTTTTCCAGGTGGGGCAGGGAGCCCATATAAGCCAGGCATTTCTATTTTGCTTTCCTAACTTAAGTTCTCTGTCCCCCTAATCATTATAGTAGCCTCTCTGTGCATGCAGCACAATTTTGAGTTAAACTTCCAGGAACGGGGATGATTGGAGCTGCACGGAGTGCTCCAGGAGGAGAAGCTTTGTATTTCTGTGGCCCTGTTTTTTACTGTAACTATATCCCCTGGTATGGATTGTACCTGCTTTTTTTTACAATGAGGAGGCCTAGACATTATTTCCTTCTTCTGCCATTTCCAGGTTTTAACTCCCAATTTACAGCAGATGCTCTTATCCTAGCCTCAAAATGCATAATTTTGCACTTTGTGCTGTTAAATTTCATCCCACTTACATTAGTCCAATGCTCAAAGCAATCCAGCTGTGCCTTCTGCTCTTTCTCCATATTAATGTTGTTTCACATCCTTGTGACAGCACCCGTTTTGGCACTGTTTAGTACCAAAATTTGTACTATAAATATGTACATGTGCACACAAGCACACTTTTATTTTACCTTTTCTTCTTATATGCTAGTACTTCTCTATTTCATATTACCTGCCATCTACTTTTGCAAGTTTCTTTGATATCTTACAATTCTTCTAATCCTAGTCTTTTCCCCCTTAAATATGGTTATGGCATAGTTAATGCTATGCTAAATCCATGTGCATTAGTATTAATTCATTAACTGGTTACATATCAGTTTGATGTCATATTCTTTGATAAATGTACTTTGCATTTTATCCCACTTTTCTCTGTGATGTAAGGTATTTTTTTTTCTTGGGCATTTGTCCTGAAGCTTTTCATACTCCTCACATCAGACTAATAAGGTAGCTAATTTTCACCATTTCTTAGACATAAATATTAGTTTTCTTTTTTCCTAGTCTAGCCTAGTACCTGTTACCTCTCCCTTTTTATCCTCAGTTTATCAGATTACTAAAATACAGAGCTGCTTCATTGCACTGACCTTGTGTTTCCTGGACGGAACTGGCTCTTCGGTAATGAGACTGGTACCTAGTCCATCTTGTTTCTGTTACTTCTGTATTGTCTAGTTTCATTCCCTACACTATTTTTTCATTCTGTTGCCCAAGATTCTTGCATTAGTGCACAAATACTTTGATTGTTCCTAACTAACCACTCACAGTTTCTTAGCTGAATTAATTCCTGCACAACCTGCATCATCAGTCTATCAGCATTACTGTTTTCCTTCCCCGCTCCCCATCCTCCTGTATTCTATTAACGTGTGAGTTTCACTGTGAGACTTACCAGTCACCACCTACTCATTTTATCCTCTCTGCTCTACTTGAGAAGAGGCATGAAGCTTTGAAACTTTTTTTTTAACGTTGCTTTCAGTAGATGTTGTTTTTTATCAAGTCTTGTATCGTGATTTAATGTGGTTGACAGAGTTTGGGATAAATGTACCTGTTTCACACATGCTACACTTGATAATTATTAATGGCAAAGGTTAATTCCCAGACAATATGGAATTCCCGGTGTTTGTGCAAGAAAGATTATCAGTACTTTTAAATCCCTTTAGGGTGGTTGAGGTCATACTTCTCCTTCTTACCACATCCAGGAATTAAAAAATTATCAAGTGTTTTGTCAGCATAACGTAGTCCTTGCAAGTCAGACTTTGGTGCCTACACAGAGATCTGGCTATGCATAGGTGTAGAGTTTGGAGCAGAGTATGACTCTGATGGAGCAGGAAGAGGAGAAGAGAGCAGGACAAGACGCTTACACTACAGTCCTTTCTGCCAGTAGTTGCCATCTTCTGCCTGTGAATCTCTGGATTTGCTTTAGAAGAACAGAACAACAGTTGAAACATGTTGATGTGGTTGGTATCTATCTCCTCTTTATTTCATAGGACCTGTCTGCCACGTTGCAACACAAAAGGACTTGAAATGGCAGAGGGACTTTAAAAAAAAGAAAAAAGGCTGGTAGGGTTGGGATTAGATTAAATTTAGTCTGTTGTGCTGAAATCTCCCTCTGTGAGCAAGCAGCAGGGAAGGTGGTGAGGATTTAGGCCTCAGGAAAAGTCATTTAATTGCTGATTACCACCAATCACTTTCCCAAATTCCTTTCCTCATCTACTGGAACAGTTGTATTTATCAGTCCAGGGAGATTTCTGTGTAGAAATTGGCTGGAACTCTTGAACCCTGGATCTGAGTGGTTCCATGGATATTGTAAATATCACAGATGGGATGCTGGATTCTTGAATGCCAATGTAAGTTTTGTTAATGACTGGCTAAGGTCAGGATTTCACTTAGGTTTACGTATGTGTTGGACTTTCTTTTGGTGGTGCTCTGAGGGTGGGGAAGAATTTGATTGTTTATTTAAAATGGTGCTGAATGGATCTCAGACTGATCTAGTGCTGCATCTGGATTCACTTTCACAAGGGACAATATGGAACAAAACTCTTGAAAAATTATTTTTTTTTAAATTGAAATCAGAAGTCTTGAAAGCCCTCCCATTTTACTGTTCCATATGAGGGAAGGGCTGGCAACTTCATGTTTTCTCAGTTGAAGCAAGTTATCGGATTTTGAATATGCTACAATGTATCAGGACTGCTATAGGTAATAATGCAGTCATTATCAAAGGTATGCTGCAAGGCATCATGGACTGACATTTTCAAATCACCGTGTAAATCTGCCTGACACAGCTTTAAAAGAAATAAAACAAGACTGAAAGCTCCAGTGTTTAGTCTAAAAACACACATGGCTGTGGTTGCTGTTTTAGCCTATGTGGGCTAACCGTGGAAGCCTTTTGTCAGCTCTCCGGCCTACTGAGTGGTGTCAGCTTGATTTGTGTGTTAATTTGCTGACTTTTCGGTTTGATGCTTTCCGTTAAAATTCACATAAAGAGCCTGTGTGTTTTTGCTTTATTTAGCAACTTTCCCTAATCTAAATGCTCTTCCAAAGACCACCCTTGGTATCACTGAAACTAAGAGAAAGCACTTTCAACATTTATTCGCTGTTGGAATCATTTATTCGCCATTTATATGATACTGAAAGGACGGAGGCAGATGGGGAGCCTTGTAAAGTGATGATATAACCAAACACAGAGAAGAAACACAGTGGCAGTCTTACAAGATCTTTCCCTTATGGAAAAATACTGAATAAAATGATCAGTGGTGTAAGCCATGAACTGCCTAGCACCAGCTCAGCCTAGTGCCTTCTTGGCACCAAAGCTTGTCCTGCTTAAGTTAAAGTCTCCTCCTCACCCCATCTCACATGTCCCTGCTCTTTAGGTCTGGTTTGCTTGAGGAAGATGACTCGTTACTGGCAGAGGCTGCCAGGAACCAGGAAACAGCCCTGGACTGCCATCTCAGTCCAGACTTGCAATTAGGATGGTGTTTTGACACTGTTTTTCCTTGCGTGTTGATGGTATGTGTGATATCTTGGGGCAGATAAGGTACTATGGACCTTCCTCCCTGGAACAGATCACTTCAAAAATATAAATTGATTGAGCAGTTTAGCTGGCACTTTAATGTTGGATGGAATAACTGCTAATTCCGTAGTGTTTGTGTGGCCTGAATGACTCCCCTCACACTCTTCGTTTAAGGAGAGATCTACAGGCCAATTTATGGCACCAGGGTGTTTATTTTCAAATAACAGGTGAAATCACACTACACTTACTGCATCTCAGAAACTGAAGAGTCACACCTTGGAAGTGTCCCTTCCAAGAACAGCTCCAGAAAACAGTTCCTTGAATCACTAACATTATCTCTATTTTTTTTGAGTCAATACTGATCAAAAATGCACCCTCAGGAAGCCGCTGGAGGGTGTGGGCTTGGTGTAAGGTAAAAGGCTCACAAATTCCCATTGGACTTTTGATAAAAATAGAAAGATCAACCATTGTTTAGAAGTAGTCATCAAGTGTTATCTCCCTAGCTTAAATGAATGTCCCTCTGTGTCTGAAAACAAAAAATGGTATTACCCTTTATGTCAGCATCTGTTGTGTATTGTTAAATACCTGCCATACCACATACCTTAAGCCACAATTCATGGATAAAGTAAGTCTTTGTCCGGACCTGTTGCTGCAGCTTGAAGCTCCCAGTGATTGCAGTGAAGCTAGGATCAGGCCCATAGCGGAGAGAGCCTCTAAATTTCTCTATAGTCCATTCACTATAATTTAAAAAAATCTAGGTTTGTATTTGTCACCACTGAATACTGTGTCCTGTTTTCCTTTCCACAGGCAGAGTCACCCCAGAACAGCTCAGCTCATACATTCAGCTTTTCAGAAATAATCTCAAAGCTTTGGAGAACCATTGTGGTCTTCTACAGCTTGTGCTCGCCACAGTCCAGACTTTGAAACATCCCCAGACTTCCAAATGGGACAACTTCCTTGCCTTTGAGAGATTACTTCTGCAGGTACATATTATGTGACTTTATTTGACCTAAATTAAGTAAAAATGTTTTGTTTAATTTTTTGAATTCTCGTTGAATTCTGTAGCTTGTATTTTTTATGAAGTGTGTTGGATGTCTTGCTAAAAAGCTGTTCCTCATTGCCAAGCTGGTGAAAGGAATGGGAACCTACATAGTTAATCTCTTTACAGTGTTGTCTAAGAATAATTTTATAAACAAAAGGGTAGCTGCTAAAGGTGAAGTACATAAATAATCTGAATTGCGTAACAGTTTTACATCTATATGAAATTTTAAGGTGATATAACTTTTAGCATTGGATAGGATTATTGTTATCATCTTCATCATCATCATCATCGCTACCAGTCTGAAGATGCTTCTTGAGGTAACATGCTGATTCAAATGCAGAGAGGACTTTGTGAGTGCAAAACTTGTGTAATTTACTGAGCAGATGAAAGCTTAGTAGGAAATTCCATGCACTAAGAGAGTGAGGTTTCTCTTGCTCATAGCTGTCATCCACCCTCAGCTTTTCCCACCACCACATTTTTTACAGCATCCTGTTGGTGACCACAGTATTATTTACATACCATTTTGTATCACACTTGGATTTCTCTCAGGAAATTAAGAGTTAGTGGTATATTGAACTCTATCCTACTAACCTTTGGAGATGTATGAAACAAAGGAGGAATTTTTCTAAGAACCTAATAGAGTTAATTTCTGCTGAAATTCAGGGAAAGCTCAAAACTTTCTTCCCTGTGCTGTCTCTTCTGCCATTGTGTTCTTTTTAGAGGAACCATCTTCTGAAATTCTAGCAAGAGGCAAGTCTTCATGAGCTAACTTCTAATGAAGTTAGAGTCAGCCCTAAATGAGTGAAGTGTATAGCGTGGACCTCAACTAAAACCAGATACTTGTTTTGTAAAAATTAGCTGTCTTGGTCTAGATGTCGAAAACAAACCAACAACCTGACTCTCCCCATGATCTCTGGCAGCAGGATATAATCCCTGGTCCTTTGAGAAGACTCAGCCCAAACTTCATAGCTTTGTAGTCAATGAATTTCTGTGACATTTGGGGGGCAAAAAAATGCAAAACTTAAATAGTAGCAAGCTGTTGTCTACATTCATTTAAAAAACTATTCTCTCTTGGTAAAAGACTGAAATATTTTTTGTACAACATTGGCAGCTTTCTTTCTCTAGTTAAGAAACAAACAGATCTCAGGTAAAAGAACTGCTTGCAGCCATTCTTTGGTTCGTCTGGACTGCAGAGCATGGGGCTGACAGCCCATAGTCCCCTCTTCTGCAGTGACTCATGTCACATAGGTCTTCTCAGAAGCTGGCTAAGTTCCATCTTTAAACCAATTCAGCTTTAGAATCAAAATAAAGCTGCAAGTTCAGCGTTGTTTTCACAACAACAGACAGCTGCCTATATAAAAGCCATGCCGTAAATCATCAGGGAGTGGAAAAACAGAGGCAAGAAGCAAACAACTATATATTTCATACATAACAAGCACTCTCAGAATCGTAGGTGGCTTTGGATTATACCCACTGCCTTCCACCCATCATATTAAGGTAAAATGTGTTAGCCAAAGCAAACTTTCTAGGCTAACATTTGTAACTGTTCCTTAAGCACATACTCATTTTCAGTAGTTCAAATAACAATTATTTTGAATTACACAATCTGTACAGCATGTATCCTTTTACTGACTCTATTTTGAAGACAGAGTCTGACATGCATTATCTGTTTCTGAGCACATGGCCTGTCTCTGATCTGTTGACAGGGGTTTGTAGGAAGAGCAAAATACTGAGAGGCCCAGAAACCATCAGAGATATTTTTATTTAAAAAAAAATCAACTAGGACGTTCCATTGTGAATGGTTGGTACATAGCAATCTGCACTAAATTTGATGCCATGGTAGTTTATTTCAGCAGTACTACTGAGAAATTCTTTAGCATAATTGTTATGTTTCAGATATTTTAAAATAATAAATATTAAAAAATCCTCAATAAAAAGTAATTGTTTCAATGTGAAAGTAGTGTTGTTACTATCCTATATTGGAACCACATAGAAGACAACTGTTTGTGAAAGATCTACTGGGAGTAATATTATTAGACTCGGACAATGTAGGAATTCTAGATTTTTCACTGATGGATGCATGTCAGACTCCAGCTGATGCCAAAGGAGATAACCCACTATAAACAGCTGGTGTTAGAATTCTCAGATTTCCCCCAAAAATAAATCTGCACAGTTTTGGAATTTCTCTCATTACTGGATCTCTCTGATGGGTCTCATGATTCTCTGCTAAGTCTACTTTGTGCTTTTCAGAAAAACCACGTTGTTGACATGAAACCTTTCGTCTAACTCTTGCATTGAATAACCTCTTCCACTTTTCTTCTTCTCTTTACTCCTTGAGTCACTCCTTTCAGTTGACGTTGCAGTTACTCAGTTTTAAAAATGGCCTGGTAGAGGTGGAAAGCAGCCCACTTCCACTATTTTATCATAATTAAAGATCTGTAACTTACATTTTTCAGACCTATGTTATCTCAGTAAGTTTTTTATGTCTCCAGCAAGGAAGTTTGGTTTTGACTAGAAGTTGGCTGAAAGTCAGCGCAGCTGCATACTTACTACAGAGTTGTCCTCTCCTTAACTTGGATGGATGAATGGTCTGAGAGTGAAATTGGATTTTGATGGGATCATGGCCTTGACCTCAAAGGAATGAGGATCGTGTGCTGGGTTAAGAGTAATGCATCAGAATGATTCATCTTGTCCATCACAAGTTTTCTCTGTGTTCTGCTGCTCTACCTCTGCACGTGATGGAGCTTTTACTACCCATAAGTTTTAAATGCTTTGTGAATTGAAACAGTATATCCTATTTACCAAGGAGATATCCCACCCCATCATATTTTCCTTCTCTTGAGGTCCTCTTCCTATTTTTCTAATTCTGACCATCCATAAAACTGATAAGTGGGAAGGGGAACATGAGCTAAATGCTGCACCACGCTGCTTGCAACTCCCCAGTACTCCTCATGTGAGTGCCTTGTTTTCCTTCAAGTGAGAATTTAAAAGTTAGGGAGGTAACAGAAAGTAAGAATGAATGTTGTCACTCCATACTTTTCAGTTCTGTTTAGCTCTATCCCCTGTTCTCCTCAAATTTATGACTTTTATGGAGGTTTATTAAGCAGTAAAGGCCCATGAAATAGAAAAACACAAGAAGAGGAACTCTCTCCAGAGTTCAAACAAAATGTGACACTGTGAGAGAAAAAATATTTTTTTTGTTGTTAACATACACTACTCACTTATTCACTGAGCAAGGATTTCTGCCTCCAAATTCAGTTTATAAATACCCGGCAGCAGTAGACAGCATGAATGGGGGCATAATGTGCCCCAAGGGAAAGTGTAGTTGCTCTGTGGAGGGTACTGCTCTGAAATTCCCCAGTTTGGATGCTACCTCTTAGAATTGGCTGCATCCTTCTGGCCTAATCTTGCTTTCAAGATTTAAGAGTAAAGTACTTCTCATACAGAGTAGTAGTCTATCTTATGAATAGCCCCATCCATTTAATCCCAAGTTTGGGGTTTATTCAGTGCAAGCAAGTTTATCAGGCTGAGTTTCTAAAATAACACAAGGAGTACTTGAAATGCATTTCCCCCCAAAGAAAACAGATGTTCTGCAAGCAATTTAAAATTCTGCTGCTGTACTTCGGAGTGAGGAGGGGGAGGATTTAAGTTGATCGCAAGTTTCTGTAGGTTTGCATGAGCAAAGACATTGTCATGTTAAAAAGTTTACTCGTTAGTACTGTCATTTCTGTGTGGCAGCAAATTCTGGCAAGAGTTGTATCAGTTGGCACTGCATGGCAGCTAAAGGCTCGTTCCATCTTGTCCTCAGCTAATTCTCTGCTGCATGTTTTTAAATGCAAACCTGTCTGCTAAACTGAGTGGATTTAAAATGCCAGGTCCTGTGTGTACTGTATTTGAATCCCATGGCAGAAAGTCCTCAGCGTAGACAGATGCCTTTCCGTAACATACAATGACTAGTAATAACTCAAAGAAAAATCTCTTCCACAATATTATTGGTATTTATTGCTTTATTCCTTACAAAAAACTCATACTTTATCAGGCAGTTTTTTGCACCAGAACTGTTGAAAGCAAACAGCTATTTTGACCTCCTCCCAAAAGGGGAGGGGTGTGTTTCTTCTTTAGGATGAGGACATCCTCTTCTTTCTTGAGATGTCTGGGCTAAACTTTGTTTTAAAACTGCAAATGTACCAGCACTGTTGTCTTAGAATAACTGCATTGCCCAAAGTAAGGAAATCTGAAAGATTACTAAATTCCTTGTTATTATGGTGTTGGGGAGGGGATTGTTGCTTCTTGGGGCTTTTTTGTGGCACAGAGTTTTTGCACCTGCTGACCAGCACTTCACAGTTTACTGGGAAATTAGACAGCTTCAGCATTGACCTAGAAGCCATGATGCTACCATTGGATCTCAGTACTGTCAAAGTTTTGTTTTGTGATGCTGATTAATGTCACATAATCTCAAGAGTAATTGGAATTAAAGGTCATACTAAAAAAAACCCAACAAAACCAAAACCAACAAACCCACAAAACCAGTCCAAAACCAAAAATCCCCAACACATTCATTCTATAGATGAAAAACTGGAGTGTAAACTGGGGACTATATTGTTCTGGTTGGTTATAATTAGCTTTATGATGCACATCCAGCTAAAAATCCTTGCAGCTTTCACCTATCTGAATTGTCTGACTTCTCAGACTTAAAGCCCCTTGAACTGGGACCAAGTCCCCTCTGAGCTTTGACTCCTTTCGTGTCCTGCAGTGTCTATGAGGTAAGTGCCTTGCTGACTGGGCCAGTGCTCCCACACATGGCATCTGCCAGCTATGGCATCAATGAGTATGGAAATGGCATGTTTCTAGCAGATATTGAGGACAGCTATTCAATTGAGGTGACAATGTGTACCACCACCTCACACACATTGCCCTATTGCTCTTGGATTTGAGCTCGTG